ATGTGAGAGATCAGGTTGGAGTTCCTGGCCCCTGGCTTTGGCCTGGCCCAACATTGGCTGCTATGGTCATTTGTGAAGTGAGCTAGTAGAATGGAAGATTGCTTTCTCTCTGCCTCTGAAATAAATCACAATGTTTTTTTTTTTTTTTTTTTTTTTTTTTTAAAAACTGTAGTGAGCACTGTAAAATAAAGCCACAAAGGATACATTGAGGGGAACAGTGGATAGAAAAAATTTTAAAATACAAGAGTACAATTTTTTAAAGATTTATTTATTTTTATTAAAAAGTCAGATATACAGAGAGGAGGGAAGACAGAGAAAAGATCCTCCACCTGATGATTCACTCCCCAAGTGAGTGCAATGACCGATGCTATGCCGATCTGAAACCAGGACCAGGAACCTCTTCTGGATCTCCCACACAAGTGCAGGGTCCCAAATCTTTGGGCCGTCCTCACCTGCTTTCCCAGGCCACAAACAGGGAGCTGGATGGGAAGTGGAGCTGCCGGCATTAGAACCGGCACCCATAAGGGATCCTGGGCGTTCAAGGCAAGGACTTTAGCTGCTAGGCCATGGCGCCCGGCCCAAAAGTACAATTTTTAAAAATATTTATTTATTCTTATTGGAAAGATTGATTTACAAAGGGGAGAGACTTGTCATTTATCACTCTGTTAACATGCCTGGGAAAGCAGCTGAGGATGGCCCAAGTACTTGGGCCCTTGCATTCAAGTGGGAGACTTGGAAGAAGCTCCACTGGGCCATTTAAGAAGTGAACCAAATGAATGACAGTACACTCTCTCTGTTTCTCCTCCTCTATTTGTAACTCTGCTTTTCAAATAAATACACGTATACATTAAAAAAAAAAAATTCCTTAGGGCCCAGTGCAAGGTGGCTCAATTGGCTAATCCTTTGTCTGCAAGCAATGGGATCCCATAGCGATTCCAGTTCAAGTCCTGGCTGCTCCATTTTCCATTCAGCTCCTTGCTTTTGGCTTGGGAAAGCAGCAGAGGATGGTCCAAAGCCTTGGAACCCTGCCTTCAGATGGGAGATCCAAAGGAAGCTCCTGGCTTCAGATAGGCTCAGCTCTAGCCACTGTAGCTATTTGGAGAGTGAACCAGTGGATGGAAGTTCTTTCTGTCTCTACTTTTCTCTATAAATCTAGCTTTATAAATAAATAAATAAATAAATAAATAAATAAAATGCCTTAAGGAAATAAAAATAATTTTGAACAAATATGTTTCTGGATAGACTCAATACCTTAACAATGTCTCTTATTTCTAAGTTGATTTATAAATTTAATGACTTTTAAATAAAAATAACAACCTATTCTCTTTAGGGGTTTCTAACATACATAAGCTACAGTATGAGAGGCCTTGAAAATTCTGGAAAAAGAAAATGAGATTAGCCCTACCAAATCTTAAAAAGTCACAACAAAAGTCAGCGACTAACACATATGTGTATATGTGTGTGACAACAGATAAACTTCTGCATGGTAAAATAAACCAAACTCCGCAGAGCCAAAGGTCAAAAGACAAACAACAACTTAAGTGTTATATCTGTAACTCATGTAATCGCCCAATTCAGACTGTACCCTAAGGGGCCTGTGAAAGTCCTTGCCAATGATACCTATGCCCAATATTGGAGTGCTGCTTGCATTATCAGGTGCTCTGCTCCCTATAATGCACTAGGGAGGTAGTGGAAGACGGATTCTGCCATCCCCAAGGGAGACCTAGATGGAGTTCTTGCGCTAGGCTAGCTCTGGCTGCTGTGCTCATTTGGGCAGTGAATCAGCAGATGAAAGCTAGTTCACGCCTGAACACACTCTCTCTCCTCCGTCACTCTGACATTCAAATAAATAAAATAAATCTTGGAAGCTGTTGTGGTGGTATACACTTGGCATATCTGCATCCTACTGTAGGAGTGCCTGGGTTCAGGTCCTGCTCTTTTTTTTCTTTTAATAAAGATTTATTTTATTTTTATTGGAAAGGCGGATATGCAGAGAGGAAACACAGAGAGGAAGATCTTCCGTCCGATGATTCACTCCCAAGGCAGCCGCAACGGCTGGAGCTGAACCAATCCATAGCCAGGAACCTCTTATGGATCTCCCACACGAGTGCAGGGTCCCAAATCGTTGGGCCATCCTCGACTGCTTTCCCAGGCCACAAGCAGGGAGTTGGATGGGAAGCGCGGCTGCTGGGATTAGAACCGGTGCCCATATAGGATCCCGGGTGTGAAAGGGAGGACTTTAACCACTGCGTCATCGCGCCAGGCCCCAGGTCCTGCTCTTTTATTGTCTCCAGCTTCCTGCAAATGTATTCCCTGGGAGACAGCAGGTAATGATTCAAGCACTTTGATCTTTGCTGTCCACATGGAAGACCTGGATAAATTCCTTGTTCCAAGATGTGACTTGGCCCTGCACTGGGTGTTGGTGCATTTGAGAGTAAATGAGCAGACAGAACATTTCTCTTTTTGTCTTTACTCTGTCTCTCAAAACAACAACATCAATAACAAAGTTACTTTTATCCCTAACCCATCAATCTCACTTCAAAGAAATTATGTTAGATATATCTAAATATATCTAAATATATGTATATAACATATATATATATATGTTCTGATGTGAAAAAATGATTAAACAGTCCTAGTATTTGTATCTAGGGACTGGTAAATACTCCCTCCTTGTGTGAGCATTTGGCTAAATTGTTAAGACATCCACTTCCCATAGAGTGCCTGAGTTTGACATTTAGCTCCAGCTTTAGCTCCTGAAACCAGCTTCCCACTAATACAGACCCTGGGAAGCAGTGGTGATAACTCAAGTGCCTGGGTTCTTGCTACCTGTGTGGGAGATCTGGATTAGTTCCTTGCTCCAGGATTCAGCCAGCCATTTGGGAAAGTGAACTGTATATAAGTTCTCTGAAATTAAGAGAGAAAAGTTAAAAACAGAGTCTGGCAGCGTGGCCTAGCGGTTAAAGTCCTCGCCTTGAATGTGCCGGGATCCCATATGGGCTCCAGTTCTAATCCCAGCAGCTCTACTTCCCATCCAGCTCCCTGCTTGTGGCCTGGGAAAGTCAAGGACGGCTCAATGCTTTGGGACCCTGCACCCACGTGGAAGACCCGGAAGAGGTTCCTGGTTCCCGGCTTAGGATCAGCGCAGTACTGGCCGTTGTGGCTCACTTGGGGAGTGAATCATCGGACGGAAGATCTTCCTCTCTGTCTCTCCTCCTCTCTGTATATCTGCCTTTGTAATAAAAATAAAATAAATCTTTTAAAAACAAATTTTTGAAGTGCATATCCCTCCACCTTGAAAATATTTCCACACTGGCAGATACAGCTGAATACAATGAGCATATTATATACTGATGGGAAAGATTCAAGGATCCGCAAAGGAATGGCTTGTTCAGAGTGTCTGTCAGGCAGGAAACATAAGACAAGTCTGGAATATCCTCTTGTGCCATAAATCAACTTTCAAACATTAATGAACTGAAAAATTATCCTTTGATAATCCATATTTAAATCAATTATTTGAGGGCTGGCTGCCTGCAGTGTCAGCATCCCTGTGGGTGCCATTCTAAGTCCTGGCTGCCCTATTTTGATCTAAGTTCCTGCTAGTGGCCTGGGAGAGCAGTAGAGGCTGGCCAAAGTACTTGGACCCCATTATCCACATGGGAGATCTGAAAGAAATTCCTAGTTTCAGCCTGATACAGTCTTGGTCACTGTGGTCATCTGGGGAGTGAACCAGCAGATGGAAGGTCTTTCTCTCTGTCTGCCTAGCTCCCATACTTGCCCTATAACTCTACCTTTCAAAATAATAAAAATAAAATTTTAAAAAAGAAAGTTTATTTGGAATACAATGATTGTTAAATAGAACATGAATAAATAAAAGATTGCAAAATTTGCAGGAGAGATCCCTATATTTATTGATTGTCTGAACCTATGCATTCCTTTTAAATTTGGGACCACTAGATACTGCATACTATACTTCCTAACATAAAATAATACAAAACATTTTAGAATTATTTTAAAACGGATGTCAATCAAGCCTCTAAATCCCAACTTCTATTTTCTAAGGAAATATAGGTGATAGAGGTACACAATAACAACACACACACACACACAAAAGAAAAATTCAGATTTGAGTATATTCTTAATGTGGAGTTACCAAAAGTTTCCGCAATAAGCCAGTTCCGCATACCAAAGGAAAAGAGAGCAATAAACAGTAGAGAAGAAAATGGAATGACTAGATTTTAAAATGCAATTATAACTGAAGATGAGACTTGTTTTAAGATGTGAAGCTTGTTTTAGACTTAGAGTCTAGTTAGACCCAAACAATTAAGAAAAAAAGACATTTGACACAAACAGGGAACTTCAATTATAAAGAGAACGTCAGAGGGTCCAAATATCTTTAATTTTCTGATACGAAAATGACATTGTTGTGTAAGAAAACATCTGCATTAAAAGAAGTACATAGAGGAGTAACAGAGAAAAACAGCATGCTGTCTGGGATTCATCTCCAGCCATTTGGGGAAGAAATGTCACTAAATTAAAGGTGGAAAAATTGTGGCAATCTGAATAATGGCTACACATGTAGCAACATGTCATATCATTCTCTCTACTTATATAAATATTGGTTTAAAAAAAAGCACATTAAAAACAATTGCTTCTGGTACCACATCACACACTAGCAGCAGACACAATACCTGGTGTCAGGTTTCTGTGACCAAAAGACTGTTCTTTCTTTAAATTTCAAATGAAATGATGATTTGTAGAGTTAAAGTAACAAGAATGAGTTAAAGCAGAAAACTGTGTAGATGACTATGTCAAGTCTTTTAAATTTGTTTTTAGGTACTTTTTCAGGTTCAGTAGCATCCCAGAGCAAGTTCTATATAGAGGCTTTTAAAATGAAAAGTATTATGACAGGATACCAGTACATGCAATTATGTATAACATTTTCATAGGCCATATAGCAATCAGCTGACCAATATGGAATATGGCTTTAGTTTTCTTACCATCAATATTAAGCATCATTTTCCACATGGCGGGCCGAACAGATTGATGGAATCCAAACCATACTTCCCTGCCCCCTCCTAGAGGGTGGTCATATCCTTCTGGAGCTGAGAAAAAGGAGCGCCCCACAGGTGTGTATCTACAAAAATTAAAACAGCATGTTTAATTCTTTCTGTCTCATACCACATTTAAATCTGAAGAACAGGGAGGACTAAATCACAGACAGTTTACCATTATGACTCTAGAAACCCACATAGTTCTCAAACCTGTGAAGGCATGAAGTAGCCTTCATAAATTAATCATCCCTCAGTATCTTTCACCGAAAGTCTCGGTTTGCAAAACTAATGTTAGTTTGCATAAGAGTAATTTAAAACACTTCCCTACAAATAGACTGAAAAATGTCAACAGCACCAGTTTAAGAACATGTAATTATCAATCAAAATTCTACTTCTCGGACTAACATAATGGCATAGCAGGTAAAGCTGTCACCTATAATGCTAGTATCTCATATGGGTGCTGACTTGATTCCTAGCTGTTCTACTTCCAATCCAGCTCCCTGCTAATCATTTGGGAAAGCAGTGGAAGACCTGGAAGAATTTCCTTGTTCCTGGCTTTGGATCAGTCCAGTTCTGGCCTCTGTAGCCATGTGGGAACTGAACAAGCTGATGGAAGATCTCTCTCTTTCTCTATCTCTCTTTCTATAATTGTTTCAAAAAAAGAAATAAACATTATAAAAAAAATATTTCTGTAAGTATGTTTGTAAGACACAGTATTTTTCTTTAAAAAGATACACTCGCTCTGTATAAATATGAGTATACATACACATGTAAACACATACACATGTGAGCTAACAGTGTGATTAAGAGTAGCGACTTCAAAATAATTTGAGATTGCTATACAAATAGTAAAATTACTTTTAAAAAGCAAGGTGATTGTGCTTGCTTCCGCAGCACATTTACTAAAAAGCAAGGTGATTCATCTAGAGGAAAATATGTGAAAACATACCAGTCAACCAAATTTTATAGCTACTAAGAGAAAGGGTCAGACATTTTTCTTTGAATATGCTAATTAGAATAAGCCGATAATGTGTATCTATTTGCAGATGTTAGAGAACTACTCTGCAACTTCTCTCAATGAATTTATAGATGCATGCTATTCTTGTTCAACTGATATAATCAAAATACCAAAAAAAAAATTTATCCAAGGGAGGTCTGTACAACTCATTCTTAAAAGGAAAATCTTCATATTTAGAATCTAAAGAGGAATAAAAGCCAAAAGAACCCACTTCATGGAGGGCAGATGTCGTAGCACCACATCAACGGCATGGACAGGGTTAGTGCTGATTGGCTTGTCTAACTCCAGTGGCTCAGGCAAGGTCCGTCCTGTCAGTACTTCATGCAGTAGGTGCCAACTCACCCGAGAGACAAATTTGATTGACACTTTGAAAGGTCGATCTTTTCCACCTTCCCCAGGTAATGTAACATCTAAATCTACCTGTTGGTGGGAGAACAGTCAATTGGTAAATGTTGAAAAAGACAAACACAATAACTTCAAGTTTAACTTATAGAGAGATCTAAGATTTAAGCAAAAAGTTTGAAGAAAAATAAGGCAAGGGCTGGTGCTGGGTTATAGCACAGTAAACCTTTGCCTGCAGCCCTGCCATCCCTTACGGCGCAGGAGTAAGTCCTGGCTAATCAACTTTTTTTTAAAGATTTATTTATTTTTATTAGAAAGCAATGTGCAAAGAAAAAGAGAGAAAGAGCCTCCTCCCACTGATTCACTCTCCAAGCACCCGCAATGGCCAGAGCTAAGCTGATACAAAGCCAGGAGCCAGGAGCTTCTTCTAGGGCCTCTCATGTGGATGCAGAGTTCCAAGGCTTTTGGCCATCCTCTACTGCTTTCCAGGCCACAAGCATGGAGCAGCAATGATACTAACTGGTGCCCATTTGGGATCCCAGTATATACAAGGTGAGGATTTTAGCCATTGAACCATCTTGTGCTAGGCCCCGTTTATAAAAATTTAAAAAGGAATGAGGAAGATCTCTTGGAGATTCCATGAAATAATTTCTAAGCCATATTGTTAAATATACAATGTATCAGCATAAAAGATTACCAATATTATGACATCTTCTGTTTGGGAAAGAAGGGGGTAATAAGAAAGCACACTTATCTATTTTGACAAACAGGAAGTATGAAGTGGAAACAAAGAAAGTGGGTTACTTTCAAAAAATGGGAAGAAATGGATTAGAAGAAATAAGGGGGAACAATATTGAGTATATCTTTGGTACAGTTTTAATGTTAGTAAGCATAGTAAAGTTAACTTCATATCGACATTTTTAAATAATCGCAAGAATGGAAGGAAAAATTGTAACTGAATATAGACAGAATCAAATGAACCAAAAATGTATTTCAGATGAAGAAAAAAATAATGCAAGAAATTCTTGAATTCTCTACCCTCAATTTATGGGATGTAGATGAAGAAAAGGCATGTTTTGAAGAACTACATTAAAAACAAAACCTTAAACTTTTAACAGTAGATCTGTCTTATGCAGTAGTATAAAGTAATCCAGAAAGTATTTATGTTAGCATATCCCAAAAAGTTTGTGAAAACTGAATTAAAAGGTATGGTTTATTTGGGTTGAAAATTCTTGAAACTCATGCATTTTTTTCACAACACACACTTTCCATGAACTTTTGAGGACCCCCTCATATGCACTGTATGAATGAGCAAATGAGAAAAAAAATGAATGTTCCTGAGGTACCAGGAAACTGAGTAAAGAATAAAGAAGACACAAATAAGGATGAGGAAAGAAAGAATTCTGGGGATATAAATCAAAATTAGAAGAAAAAATATAAATTCAGGTTTCCAAGAAATATAAATAACTCTTAATATAGAAAGTGTTGTTTCTGGCCTGGTGTGGTAGGCCGGCAGCTAAATGCTCGCCTTGCACACGCTGAGTCCACTTGGGCGCTGGTTCTTATCCCAGCGACCCTGCTTCCCATCGAGCGCTTTGCTTGTGGCTTTGGGAAAGCAACTGAGGATGGCTCAAAGGCTTAGGAACCTGCACCAGCATGGGAGACCCAGAAGGAGCTCCTGGCTCCTGGCTTCGGATTGGCTCAGCTCTGGTTGTTGTGGGCACTTGGAGAGTGAATCAGCGATCGGAAAATTTTTCTGTTTCTCCTTCTGTCTATGGATATGCCTTTTTAATAAAAATAAATGTTTTTTAAAAAGTATTATTTCTATTATGTTTACTTATTTATCTTTTTGGCTTCAGACCTTTGAGATGGCTTACATATACACATACTCTAGTGGCAACGAACATGCCTGGTTTCAAAATTGCTTCTCCAACTAACTGAAACCAAGACCCCTCTGAGAAATGACTGCGGGCACGGTACGACAGCATAACATAGTGGTTAAAGTTCTTGCCTTGAATGTGCTGGGGATCCCATATGGGTGCCATTTCGTATGCCGGCAGCCCTGCTTCCCATCCAGCTCCCTGCCTGTGGCCTGGGAGAGCAGTCGAGGATGGCCCAAAGCCTTGGGACCCTGCACCCGCGTGGGAGACCCAGAGGAAGTGTCTGGCTCTTGGCTTCAGATTGACTGGCTCAGCTCCAGCTGTGGTGGTCACTTGGGAAATGAACCATAGGATGGAAGATCTTCCTCTCTGTTTCGCTTCCTCTGTAAATCTGACTTTCAAATAAAAATAAGTAAATCTTAAAAAAAAAAAGAAAGAAATGGCTATTGCAGGGCTACAGCAAGGGAAATAAGATTAGCCTGGGGTAGCTTATAATGCCAGAAAGTAATGAATTGTTTGTGGGGAAAATGGGTCATATGAAACCCAGGAGACAGCTTAAAGTGGTCCTACTGGTCAAAATTGACACAACTTGGGCAGTCAGCTCAATAAATAAGGCAGAAGAAAATGTTCTCCCTTATAGCAGAATACCAACTTTAAAAATGTAGTCAAAATGACACCATTAGAAAATCAGCACTAATACATAGTAGTGATGATTCCTTTAAGAGTCAGCTGCTATAAAAAGTCCAATGAGACACAGGATGCCTAAAAATATCTTTTATATAAAAATTTAAAACTTCCTGTGATGGGCATATGTGGAGGTACATCAGGTTAATCTGCACTTGGGATGCTCACATTCTATATCCAAGTGTTAGTCTGAGTTCTAGGATCTCCACTTCTGATACGCTTTCCTGCTAATGAATGCTGGAGACAGAAAATCACGACTAAAAGTGCTTGGGCCTCTGCCATCCATGTAGCAGCCTGGATAGAGTTCCATCTAGCAGATGGAAAATCTAGCTTTCTTTGTTTCTGTTGCTCTTTCAAGATGAAAATAAACACACCATCCCCGTTAAGTGACGGCCGTCATGGGCAAGAAGAAGATTGCCAAGCGCTCTAAGATCAAGTCCTTTGGGAAGGTTTATAACTACAACTACCTCACGCCCACAAGGTACTCCGTAGATATTCCCTTGGACAAAACTGTGGTGGACAAGGATGTCTTCAGAGACCCAGTTTTGAAATGCAAGGCCCGGGGGGAGGCCAAGATCAAGTTTGAGGAGAGGTACAAGATTGGCAAAAACAGGTGGTTCTTCCAGAAGATGCTATTTTAGATATATTTTTTGTTCCACTCATTAAAGACTTTTAAAAAAATTCAAAAAATTCTATGCATCAAAAGTCACAATCAAGAGAGAGAAGGCACTCAGAAAAGTGTGAAAAATGTTTGCAAATCATATATTTGATAAAGGGTTAATAAGTAGAATATATAAAGAACTACAAGTCAATAACAATAAAAATGAGTCCAATTGAAAAATGTGAAAAGGGGACTTTGGATCAGCTCAGCTCCAACCCTTAGGCTACTTGGGGAGTGGACTAATGAATAGAAAACTGTCTCTCCCTCTCTCTATAACTGCCTTTTAAATAAAAATCAAACAAATATTAGAAAAATTCTAAAAATTAAAAAAAATGGAAAAAGGACATGAGTTTACATATTCTAAAGACAAATAATAAATGCATAAAAATGTTCAAAATCACTAATCACTGGGGGAACACAAATCAAAGCTATAATGAAATATCATCTAACATCCATTAAGACAGCCACTATGAAGGAAAAAAGACAAGTGCTGGCAATGGATACCGAAAAACTGGAACCACTTCACACTACTGATGGGAATGTAAAACGGTGCAGCCATTTTGCAAAAAAGTATGGTGGATTCCTAAAAAAATTCTGAACAGCAATTCTGGGGCTGGTGGTGTGGCACAACTTGTTAAGCCACCTCATATTCCCATATGAGTGCTGGTTACAGTCTTGGCTGTTCCACTCTAGATCAGCTCAGTGCTAATGTTCCTGGGATGGCAGTGAGAGCCACTCATGTGGGAGCACCAGATGAAGTTTCAGACTCCGGCTTTGGCCGAGTTCAGTCCCAGCTGTTGTTGCCATCTGGGGAGTGACCTTAATGATTGACCTCTTTTTCTAACTCTGCCTTTCAAATAAATAAATAAATTTGTAACGAAAACAGTGGTAAAGCCAGTGCCTGCAGGACAGCATTGCACGTAAGTAGCACTTTGTGTTCCAGGCGCTCTACTCCTGACCCATTTCCCTGCTAATTGATTAGGAAAAGCGGAGGAGGATGGCCCGAGCATTTGATCCTGTGCTACCCATGTGGGAGACCTGAATGAAGCATCTGGCTCCTAGATTTGGCCTGGCTCAGATCTGACCCTTGCAGTCATCTAGGCAATGAACCAGCAGATGGAAGACGTCTCCTTCTCTGTCTCTCTATAAATCTGATCTCAAATAATTGAACAAATCTTTAAAAAACACAAAAAGCAAACATTAATTCATATGATGAACTAATTTCACTTCTGGATATATACTCAAAAAATTGCAAGCAGAGTTTCTGAGATATTTGTATACTCAACTCATTAGGCGAAAGATTTAAACGATTTGAAGAGAAACCAGAGTATGTATACCCAATTCATAGTAGGATTATTTGCAATAGCCAAAAGGTATCTGTTGTCAGATGAATGAACATATACAATTTTGTATAAACACAACAGGAAATTATCCAGTTCTGAAGAAAGAAACTCTTAAGATACTGTTATAATATGGAAAAGCCTTGAGGACATTATGCAAAAATAAATAAGTTAATCACACACACAAAAAACAAATGTATGATTCCACCATAAGGTATCCAGAGTAACTCTAATCACAAAGACAGAAGCAAGGAAGGTGGTTTTCAGAGTGAAAAGAGGAGGCAATGAGAATTATTGCTTAATAGACAAGGAGTTACAGTTTTGCAAGTTAAAGACATTTCTAGAGATGGAAAGTGGTAATGACTATGCAATAATGTGAATGTGTTTAGCACCACTCAATTGTACATCAAATGTAGTTAAGATGGAAAATTTTGTGTGTATGTTGTGTGTATATTATCTAGAGAAAGAAAAATATCTTGGCAGGATAAAAAAATACTTGGCAAATACCAACTGAACTAAATGCTTAAAGTTAACATCACCACTCCTGAAACAAATACATATTACATGCCTCTTGACCCCATGTACTAGTAAGGAAAGAAAACTTAAGTAATATTCCTGTCAAAAACAAATAACCAGAATATAATCACGGGGATATACCAGACAAACTCAGATGGGGGTTCAATTTACAAAATAGTTTGCCTATAATCATGTTACTATCATGAAAGGAGAAAAAATAGATTGTGGAGCTGTTCTCAATTAAAGACTAAAAAGACATGATATTTATTGCTTTAATCCTGGACTTGATTTTTTTTATCAGAGAGGAAAAACCTTCAAGAACACAATTGCAAAAAGTGACAATTAGAATATAGACTGACCAGATAGAAATACTGTATCAATATTGATAATGAAGTTGATAAACTCTTCTTATACTTGTTACTAAAAAACATTAAAACACTAAACATTAGGGCTGGCACTGTAGCACGGTGGGTAATACCACCATCTGCAATTCCATGTGGGCACTGGTTCAAGTCTGGCAGCTCCACTTCTGATGTAGCTTCCTGCTAACGAACTTGGGAAAGCAGCAGAAGAATGCTTGGGCTCCTGCCACCCAGGCGAGATACCCACAGAATTTCAGGCTTCCGGTTTTAGCCTGGCTCAGCCCAGCCACTGTGGCCACCTAAAGAGTAAACCAGAAGATATGTCTCTCCTCCTCTCTCAGTAACTCTGCCTCTGGAAAATCAATGGAGGATGGCCCAAGACCTTGGGACCCTGAAACCACATGGGAGACCCATAAGAGGCTCTTGGCTCTTGGCTTCAGACTGGTTCAGCTCTGGCTGTTGCAGCCACTTGGGGAGTGAGCCAGTGGATGAAAGATCTTGTTCTCTGTCTTTTTCTCTGTAAATCTGCATTTCCAATACAAATAAATAATCTTTTTTAAACAGTTTATGAAAATGTGAGCTATGGAAAATCACATGGTTTTCAATTTTTTCACACCAAAATAAACATTACATTTTTCCACAAAAGCTCTGAAATAGCTTTCATCACATACATACACATGTATATAGTCTTTTTTATTTAGAAAACAGATTTTTATGAGTTTCATAACATGCACAATTTAAAATAACAAATTCATTTAAAAGATGACAATGTAAAAGTATGATAGAATGTCATATCTTACCCCAGTAGTTGCCACAGGAAGTGGATTGGCTGTATAAAGGCTTCTTTTCCCATCATAAACTGGTCTACGGTCTCCAAAAATAGTTACTTTAAAATGCTGAACCATTGAGTCAACCACCTCCCTAAAGTAGGGGAAAAATACATTCATATAACCTTCTGCAAGATGGAATACAAAAATATTAACTAAAGTAATCCTAGCACTACTTAAAGCCATCAAAAATCTAAAAGGCATTTGTTCCTATATGATGAAGTCTTTTGTCCTCACAGTCATGGCACAGGTTACCAAAAATATTGATAACTGTCAAATGACGAAAGGAGTGTCACCCAAGAGAATAAACTAGTGTATTAACTTAACTATTGCAGGACACAGCTGGTACTCAGCTGTGTACAAAGGTACTCATATTCCCTTAAGAAACTGATCCAAAATCCCCATTCACCCTCTTGGATTACGCCATGACATGTTTACCTCTCTTAGAGATATTTTTTCCATTTAACTAAAATAGTACCTAGCATGTTATCGCCATTAAAAACTCAGTCCAGTGAATTCTGATACCCTTCATCTCTACTATCAGTAAGCTTCTGCAAAGCAATCCACACACCAGAAATCTCCAGATTTCTCTGTCCTTTCCATGGCAACCAGCCAGTAAGGATATTTATGAATCTTCCATTTACCCAGCAAATATGGAAAGACAGCCAAGATTTACACATTTTTTTAAAAAAATTATAGACTGTGGTGTTAACATCATGGTTTGTTGGGCTAGGTCTCAGTGTCCAACATGGGTGCTAGTCCATGTCCTGGTTGCTCTACTTCTATCCAGCTTCACATTTATGGCTTGAAAAGCAGTGGAGGATTGCACAAGTTCTTGGGCTCCTTGTGCACTCACAGAAGAAGCTCCTGGTTCCTAATTGGCTCGGCTCTAGCCATTGTAGCCATTTGGGGAGTGAACCACTGGATAGAAGATTTCTCTCTCTACTTTTCCCTTGCTCTATAATTCTGCCTTTGAAACTAAAATATTTTTTAAAAGTTATAGATTATGTAGAGAATGACCCCAAATTTCCATAAATCATATTTTAAAACAAGATATCTATAAAACATGTACTAAACAGGTACATTGTCATCTCTGGAGAGGAAAGTAATGGGGTCACAGGGTGACTTTTGTTTCTGAAATCTAAATATAACACAAAAAGAGTAACTCACTAATATAATTTAAAATATACTTAAGGCATTAGAATTGGGCACAGCATGATGGCCTAGTGGATAAATCCTCACTTTGCAAATGCTGGGGTTTCAAATGTGCATCAGCTTGTGTCCCGGCTGCTCCACTTCCCATCCAGCTTCTTGCTTATGGCCTGGGAAAACAGTAAAGGATGGTTCAAAGCCTTGGGATCCTACACCTGCGAGTGAGACTCAAGGGAAGCTCCTGGCTCCTGGCTTCAGAGTAGCTAGGCTCTGGCTGTTGCAGCTACATGGGGGAATGAAGCAGCGAACAGAAGATCCCTGTCTTTCCTTCTCTCTGTAAATCTTTTCAAGAAAAATTAAATAAATCTTAAGAAAAAGATTTATTTATGTATTTATTTATTTTTGGAAAGGCAGATTTTCAGAGGACAGACGGAGACAACAATCTTCCATCCACCGGTTTATTCTCTAGGTAGTTGCAAGGGCTGGAGCTGAGCTGAGCTGAAGCTAGGAGCCAGAAGCTTCTTCTAAGTCTTCCATGCGGTGCAGGGTCTCAAAGCTTTAGGCTGACCTGGACTTCTTTCTGGGTCTACAAGCAGGAAGCTGGATGGGAAGTAGAGCATCCGGGATACAAACTGGGACCCATATGGGATCCCGGCCCATGCACGGCGAGGACTTTAGCCACTAGGTTATCATGCTGGGCCCCATAAATAAATCCAAATTAAGCCCAGCCATTTGAGGAAGACTAAAAAAATAAACCAGCACTTTCTAGCTAATGTGTCAAACTCAGAGCAATTTTTTTCTATATGATACAAAATTTCTACTTTTCCTTTTAAATTTTGTTTTGCTGAAACTAACTGCAAATTTTTTAGAGTAAATTTAATAGGAAATATTTAATTCTCCTTTAATTTTTTTTAAAGATTTATTTTTATTATTTTTTTATTGGAAAGGTGGATATACAGAGAGGAGAGACAGAGAGGAAGATCTTCCGTCCGATGATTCACTCCCCAAGTGAGTGCAACGGCCGATGCTATGCCGGTCCGAAGCCAGGAGCCTCTTCCGGGTCTCCCACGTGGGTGCAGGGTCCCAAGGCTTTGGGCCGTCCTCTGCTGCTTTCCCGGGCCACAGGCAGGGAGCTGGAAGGGAAGCGGGGCTGCCGGGATTAGAACCGGCGCCCATATGGGATCCCGGGCGTGTAAGGTGAGGACCTTAACCACTTGCGCCACTGCGCCGGGCCCTCCTTTAATTTTTGTATTTAAAATAATCTTAATGATTTTCTACCAGTTCAAAGTTTCCTTTTGTGGCAATTTCTTCTAAATCCAATTTCTCAGGTGACATTTTACAGATCAAATTGGCCATAATATTTTGACTATTGCTTTATTTCATTGAAACTGACACCAGATTGAGATGCCAGTGGCAGCATAAGCAACTGTATCACAGTATCTCCCCACAAGCTTAGCAATTCTTGGAAAGTCAGCTAAATCAATCTAAGGATAAAAATACCTGCTTTGATGCCTAGCACACAGTATGCCCTGTTGATAACTGTGGATAGTCTATCTCAATGAACTGTTAGAACTCCAACAGAACATGGATCTAAAGCTAAATTCAACATACCTTCCCTAGTTAAACCTGGTTATCTTCCGCTTCTTACTTTACTGTAATGGTGCCTCCATATTCCCAGTTACCCATATTCAAAACCTAACTCATTTCTTCTCTCAAGTAAATTGCTGACTCCATCTCCCTGCAGTGTTTTTCTTAAACTAGTTTCCCCTCCATTCCCCCATTACCTTCAGTTTTTTTAGTTTCTTTTTTATTTTAATGTTCCTAGCTTTTTTCCCCCTCACCAACCAACTTATACATCACTGCCACAGACTCCACAAATCAACTTCTATTCCTCAGGCACTAAAGGAATATATACAGCACCCCTTGTAACAGATTTCTTTCCTTCCATTGCCATTATGCCCAATCCCCTTGCCAGGAAGTTAATCCATGTAATACGTTTAGTGAATAACATGTTTGTATTCCTACCTTTACTCTCTGCACTACTATTTTAGAATCTAATCATGTTGCTATAGCATGCTTACTTCCTTGTTTCTTTTTTAAAAAATATTTTTTACTGCTTAAAAAAAGTCTTTATTTTACCTAGATGTTCACAACAGCTGGGGGGCAGGGATGGGGCCAAAAGAGGAGCATGGAACGGAATCCACAGCCATGATACAATGCAGGTACTCACTGCACCTTCACCATCACTCCCCAGGGCTGCATTAGCAGCAAGTTGAACTCAGGAATTGGAGCTGGGTACTGAACCCAAATATTCCAATATGGGATAAGTACATCTTAATCACTGAGCTCAACATTAAACCCTGTATACAATTTAGAAGTAACTTAACAGGCTAGTGTTTATTCTAGCAGTTAAGATGTTAAGATGCATGTATCCAGTATCAGAATGCCCTGGGTTTAAGTCCCAGCTCCTGCTCTGGACTGCAACTTCTCCATAAAAGCAGACACTTGGAGTGGCAGGTGACAGCTTAAGCAGTAGTTAGATCTGGACATCCATGCTGGAGGCCTGTACAGACTTCCTGGATGTTGGCTTCAGCCTAGTTCAGCCCTAGCCCCAGCCACTGTCTGGGGACTGAACTAGTTGATGAGAGCTGTCTGTCTCCACCTCTCAAATTAAAAAAAAAAAATGGTTTATGGTTTCTGATATAAAGATCTCCATAATCTGCCTATCCATTCTCCTAGCAATGCACATTCAGAGTATCTTTAACTTCCAATTAGAAAAACAATGTTACAATGTCATTATCGGTCTTACACAACCTCTTATGAGCCTGCAGGAGAATTAATTTCTGGTTACAGCCTCAGAAACAGACTTAAGTCAAAATGAATCTTATTAGCTAGATGATAAACAGCTAAGCTTCTCTCTAGAAGTACTACACTAATCCATGTTCCTTGAAGTTCTGATTTCCCTAAATCCCAAGAAAGAGTTGGCATTACCAAATTGGCTAAATTTAGTACCCTACTAGGCAAAAACTGAAAACTTGATTTTTTTTTAAAGATTTATTTTTATTGGAAAAGGTGGATATACAGAGAGGAGAGACAGAGAGGAAGATCTTCCATCCAATGATTCACTCCCCAGGCAGCCGCAACGGCTGGAACTGAGCCAATCTGAAGCCAGGAGCCTCTTTTGGGTCTCCCACGTGGGTGCAGGGTCTCTAGACTTTGGGCTGTCCTTGACTGCTTTCCCAGGCCACAAGCAAGGAGCTGGATGGGAAGCGCAGCTGCTGGGATAGAACCGGCGCCCATATGGGATCCCGGGCGTACAAGGGGAGGACCTTAACCACTGCGCCATTGCGCCGGGCCCAAAAGCTTAATTTTTAAAGTATTTATTTCTACTTCATTTAAAATTTTTTTTAAAGATTTATTTTTTATTATTATTTTTTTTATTGGAAAGGCGGATATACAGAGAGGAGAGACAGAGAGGAAGATCTGCCGTCCAATGATTCACTCCCCAAGTGAGCACAACGGCCGATGCTATGCCGGTCCAAAGCCAGGAGACTCTTCTGGGTCTCCCACGCAGGTGCAGGGTCCCAAAGCTTTGGGCCGTCCTCAACTGCTTTCCCGGGCCACAGGCAGGGAGGATACAGGGTCCCAAGGCTTTGGGCCATTTTGTACTGCCTTCCAAGGCCACAGGCAGGGAACTGGATTGGAAGTAGAGCAGCCAGGATTAGAACCGGCCCATAGGGGGTCCTGGCATTTGCAAGGTGAGGACGCTAGGTGTTAGGCTACTGTGCCAGGGCCTTGTTTTATTTTAATTTATTTTTATTTGAAAGGCACACTTAACAGAGAGAACAATTAAGGACAAGTCTTCATCTGCTGGTTTACTCCCCAAATGGCCACAATAGCTGGAGCTGGGCCATTATTAGCCAGGAGCCAAGAACCAGGAAC